CATAATCTTAATACAAAATCCCCAATAGTCAAATTTAAAAGAAGTTTCCACTTTTTTTTTACATTTTTTATTAAAATTAAGCCTTAACATAAGGACTTATATTCTTCAACATTCATCTTTCTGACATAAAAAGAAACTTATTATTGTCTATATAATTAGTAAATACATATATATATTTTTTTTTTTGAGTGTACGACCCCTTAGTTTGGTTTGGACAACACTTGCTCTACTAGAGACAAAAGTTTGCCATCCTGGGGAAGACATTATGGTGCAGTGATTTCTGCTATAATTTTATTAATGAATATTCAATGGTATATCCTCTGCGCCTATCGTATAAATCGATATTTCATAATCTAAATAAAAAATCCCCAATAGTCAAACTTAAAAGAAGTTTCCACTTTTTTTTTTTTTTACATTTTTTATTAAAATTAAGCCTTAACATAAGGACTTCAATTCTTCAACATTCATCTTTCTGAAAAAAAAGAAACTTATTATTGTCTATATAATTAGTAAATATATATATATATATATATATTTTTTTTTTTTTTTGAGTGTACGACCCGTTAGGTTGGTTTGGACAAGTCTTGCTCAACTAGAGACAAGAGTAGCCATCCTGGGGATGGTTATGGTGTAGTGGTTTCCCGTTGCCTTCTGCACCAGTCGGGTAGGCATCTCTTCTCTCCAGACGGTTGCCCGTCCATCTAGAGAATCGGCTAGTGACCAAGATTCGAACCACGGCTAGTGCGTAGGAATACTGCCGCTGTAATCCTCTCGTCCGCGACGACACGACTATTAAATTGATAATTTTTACAGAAAATACATAATATCTGCTATAGTTTATTAATAAAGATTCAATGGTATCCTTAATATGCTCATAATATAAATCGATATTTCAGCTACAAAATTACTATATCATTTTGTTATTGTCAATTTTGGTATTTCATCCGAGCATTATTTTTTCAGTAAAATTTTATAGTCCTAGCATTATTTGTCGATGTCAATTTGACCTACATAACATTTTTTCTTGTTCAAATGGGACACTGGCCACTGCAATCGATTTCTGTATACTTTGCATTAAACTAATTGATAATAAATTCATATTAAGTAGCCTGTACAGCAAAGGTAACGTATAATTTATTATATAGGACATTAAATATCCATATAGTTGCGTGTAGTGGTACCCTTGAGTGATAATTGCGCCGATAAGGTGTCAGTTGTTCTTCAGCAAAGCCTTACAAACTACGTTCTCTTGTAGTGGACTTGTATGGTTATCTAACAACTATCAACGTATTTATCAACATTTTAAGACAGTATAAGCACGTCTTTAAACAGGTTCGTAGACATGAATAAGATTATTTTCAATTTTTATTTCACACCAACATTTCTGTGGGGATTTGATAATAATTAGAATATTATCTTCTATTAAATTGATATTTTCGAATTCTAAAGTTTTCCCGTAACTCTTGAGATTAGTCTAAAAATATAATATCTGTAATATCAAAGGATGTACTACAATGCTAGAAGATTAAAAGTGCATCCATACAAAATTTTAAGAGTTTAAAATTTACTAAAGATTTTGATTAAGGCGATTTTCAGTAAAAAAAAGTTAAAGAATAAAATAGTCAAATTTCGATAACTAGTTTCTCATAAACTTGATAAAAAATCCCCAATGTTCAAATTTAATTGAAATTTCCACCTTAAATTGAATATATTAAAATTATTTTCACAAAGTAGTCTCAGAATAATTCTTTTTTATTTTTATTATTATTCTAATGAAATAGAAAAATTCTTGTTAACAAATAATTGTCTATTACGATACGAGTAACAATTTATTATTACCTCATATTTATCTAAATGAATTTTTTACCGGTGCCAATTTGACCTACATATAATTTTTTCTTATTCAAATAGGACACTGCAATTGATTTCTATGCATCGAACTATTAAATAATAAATTCTGTGTAGCCTCTACAGCAAACGTAACATATAATTTGCTATATAGGACTTTTCAAATGTATTCATATAATTGCTTGCAGTGGCACCCTAAAAGTCCACAATATTTTCTCCTATTAATATGATATTTTCGATTTCTTAAGCTTTTAATTGAGTGCATGCTCAAATAATTCAGTTTCAAACAATGAATTATGTATTAAAAAACATATATTACATAAAAAAATCCTTGTTAACAAATATTTGTCTATTATGATACGAGTAACAATTTATTACTACCTTATATTTATCTACCTTTAATATATGCTACGATATTTGTAAATTATAATGAGTATTTCTTTATTGAAAAAATGTTTAGTTTCAGGTGATCAAAAGTATAATAATAATATGAGTGATTTGAAGAATGTTGACAAAAGGGTAGCTATCAATAATTTACTCTTAAAATTATTGCATATGACACTGAGAAAAAAAGACATATTTTATATTATATTCTTGTACACAGCACTGATATTTGTTTATAGTGCTTTTGGGCTTCTATATAGAATCTACTATGATACCATTGATAGTGAGAGACTTGGTCAAGTAATAGTGATTTACACTAATTATTCGCTTACTACATTAAAATTTACAATATTATTTCTAAATGATAATCGAATATTAAAGTTATTGGACATAGCAGGTATTAATTTTTTGGTTAGTGGTCTATGTCATTTTAAAATGGACAATCTTTTAAAATTAAATAAAAGGTTTTATAAATCTTACCTTTATACTATAGGGTTTGCCTACATGTTTTGGATAGGTGTTCCCATACTATATAACATTTTAAAGTCTAATGAAGTCTAAAAAATATAATATCTATAATATCAGATGTACTACACTGCTAGAAGATTAAAAGTGCATCCATACAAAATTTTAAGAGTTTAAAAATTATTAAAGATTTTGATTTAAGCAATTTTCGATAAAAAAAGTTAACGTGAGAACCTTATGAACTTAAAGACTAAAATAGTAAAATTTCGATAACTAGTTTCTCATAAACTTAATAAAAAATTCTCAATGGTCAAATTTTAATGAAGTTTCCAACTTAAATTTTTTACAAATTATTCCCACAAAGTAGTCTCACAATAGTTTTTAAGTAGGTACTAATACGAATTTCCATTTTTTTTTTTACCACTATGTAAAACTAAGTGCATGAACAATTATTTCAGTTTTAAACAATGAATTATGTATTAAAAATGATATATTAAATAGAAAAATCCTTGTTAACAAATATTTTTCTATTATAATACGATTAAAATTTTATTACTACCTTAAATGTACCTTAAGTATTTGAAACGTTAATTGTAATTTTTAATGAGTATTTATATGTTAAAAAAATGTTTAGTTTCAGGTAATCAAAAGAATAACAATATGGGTGATTTGATGAATGTTAACAAAAGGATAGCTGTCAATAGTTTACTCTTAAAATTATTGCAAATGACACTGAGAACAAAAAAAATATTTTTTGTTTTATTCTTGTACACAGCTTTGGTAATTGTTTATAGTGTTTTTGGACTTCTATATAATATCTACTATGATACCATTGATAGTGAGAGAATTGGTCAAGTAATAGTGATTTACATTTATTATTTCCTTACTATATTCAAATTCACAACATTATTTCGAAACGCTAGCCAAATATTAACGTTATTGGAAATAGCAGGTATTAATTTTTTGGTTAGTGGTCTATGTAATTTTAAAGTTGAAAATCTTTTAAAACTTAATAAAAGGTTTTATAATTCTTACCTTTGTACTTTGGGGTTTGCCTACATGTTTTGGACAGGTGTTCCTACACTATCTAACATTTTAAGGTCTAATGGAGATACAACTATTTTTAAAAGTGTATTTATTACATATTTCTACTATCCCCTTTCTGAAAAATCGTACGAGAAATATTTTGGCCTTCTTTACACAAATGAAGTAGTGTTCGGTACTTTTTTTGTGTACTTCGTAGTTTTGTTTGATTTACTATATTTCACACTATGCGGAGCAATAGCCACTCAGTATGAAACTATAACATTAGCATTGGAGACGTTTGGTCACGATAGAGAACCAAAAAGTAAGTAAATAGATTTGTATTGTCATTGAAATAAATATATTTTACTTATATTGATGTCCGTAACTAACTCATACCATATTTTATTTTCCTAATTTCCTTATTCTTTAATAATTTGATCGATAAACTAAACGAAATAATTTATTATATTAAAATTATTCATTATAAGAGCTTGATTCATTAATTTGGTGTAGATTGGTTTTTTTAAATTATTAAATTTTCTGAATTGTTTTAATGTGTATCTCTTGATAATTTAATAAAAATATAATGATGCGAACTATAATTGAAAACTTAAAAAATGTAAAGCAATATTAAATTAATGTTATTATAAAATGTAACAATTTAATCAGTTGACTAGCATTACGATTACTCATTACAAATTCATTTGCTTGAAATTATTCGTATGTCGATGTATTAATAGATAACAAATTTAAGAATTTTAAATAATACAAGACCAATGCTCAATAAAATATCCAATGTACTTCGTTGTTAGCATTTTAACCTAATTTTAATGATATTAATAATGGTTATATAACTTAGAACAACAGATCCAAATGTATAAAGAGTTGAAAACTATAATTCAGGATTGTCAAAATGTTCGTTTGTAAGTATAACTTATTTATTATTACTTTTTTAAACTTGTTTTTTTTGGAGAAACCAAATGATTTAGTTTTTGACATATCAAACATATAATTTTTAGCTATATGAAAGAATTTTATTCGATAGTCCGACTTGTCGTATTACTTGAAGTAGCTGTTTGTTCCTGTTGTCTCATAACGACTGCTTATTTTATATCATTGGTATTAACTATAGTTATTTATATGGATATCACTATAAATGTATAACTATTTTAACGAACATTCTTATGTTTTGTTAGCAATGTTTGACGAATTCAATCGATTATGCCAAATTACTACAATTCATTATAGGTTTTATCGTTCTTGGTACACAATCGTTCATGTATACTTATACTCTAGACCTTATAAATGAAAAAGTAATACGGAAAAAACATTTTTAAATATCGCATAAATAAAACTAATTGTAAGGTTATATGCATTCAGAGAGATGGTATCAACTTTGGATTGTACAGTTGTGATTGGACGTCAATGGATATTCGTTTTAAAAAGTTGTTGCTTTTAGCAATGCGAATGAACAGTGCAACATCACTTGAAATCAAAGCAACGCCGAATAAACCTATAAACTTGAAGTTATTTTTAAGTGTAAGTTATAAGTCTTATAAGATGTTGCAAATTTCAATTTTTTAATGATAAATTACAATGGCATGAACGCTTTAACATTAAGAGTAACACTAGATGCACAGTAGAAACCAATACAGGACGAAAGTATTAAATAAAGATGCAGATTCTACAAATTAGCATCAAAGCGTGAATTTGCACTTTTATATCTAATTATTCCTGTAGACCTGCAACTTCTCCGTCCCACTATGCTTTGACCTCATTATGCCTCGACCCAACTGTACTCACTTGCCCGGATAAAATAATATTTAAACAAGCCTTTTGATGTTAATTCGTCAACACTGCACCTTACTCTAACACTTGTTAATAAAAGCTGCCAACCTCCCCATGCCAGACTGCCTAGAATTCATTATACTATTATTACTCTTCTTCTTTATATCACTAACTACTATTCTTTTCTGAAAATATTATCTTTTACCCATACCCGATTTTTTTGATTTTGTTTCTGCGTATATTCCAATGTGCATTTATTCCATCTCGGATCAATTATAAAATCAAAAAATGTATAGTCACACAAAAAAAGAAGATAATGATTTGTGTAAGGACTGTTAAAAGTACAATACAATAAAACATTTTTTTTTTAAAAAGCATCTATTCTAAACATTAAATATGTCGGTGAATTTTAATTATATTTCTTTTATGGATTAATGCTATTATTTTTGATTTATAACTTCAGATTTTTAACAACACTTTAATAACATTCTAAAAATAAAATTATTTGATTAAAAAATGATAAAAAATACATATTTGCCTTTTATGGATTAATGCTATTATTTTTCATTTTAAACTACGTATTTTTAGGAACACTTAAATAATAATTCTAAAAGCAAAATTATTTATTTGAAAATTATGAAAATACAAATTTGCCTTTATTGATAAGTATTCTATTTTATCACTTCCGGTTAAAATAATTCGTAAGCAAAATAATAATTCATAATACCACTGACCTCTCCAAGCTCAGTATGGTCCGTCTCCACTATGCTTGTAACCTTTTATTTTATATTCCTTCTTTTTTTTTATGTAAAATTCAAACTTAACAATTAAGAAATTGTTAAAATATGTTTATATTTAACAGTCTAAGCCTTAATGTCTATACTTTAGGTACATGTATGTTTGAAATGCTGTATTTGTGTTTTAGTGTTAACTTGTGCAATGATATTTATTTAACATGTAATAAAGATTAATCAATTTTATAAATTGTGTTTAGGTATTACATTCGTCATACACTGTGGTATCATGTATGCTGAACGTCAAGTTAGAAAGTTCAGCAGATAACTAATGTGTAAAAGCCAAGTTATACGGTTTTTGACAACAGCTAGTATTTCATCACCAAAATTGGTGTTCGATTTTTGAAAATCTAAAATAAGAGTATATCTGATTGTTAATCTATTACTTAGCTTTAGTTACATATTATTTTCAAAAGCACATTAAATGTTTTTTTTTGTATCGCGCACTATTTTAAATGTAATAAAACACTTTGTTAGTTAATAAATATAATTTTAACACAACGTTTGAAATTCTACTGAGGGTATAATTTGTTTTATTTATATACTTGATTTCATACTTAATTACTAATATGACCTTAACCATATATCCAATGCATTTTAGCTTTCGGAAAAGGTAACAATAATACATTATTTCGTGTGTTGGAAACAATTTATTCATTATTCCGGAATGCTAACCGAATATTAAAGTTATTAGACATAACAAGTATTGATTTTTTGTTTGCGGTCTATGTCATTTTAAAGTGGAGAATCTTTTAAAATTAAATAAAAAGTTTTGTAATATTTACCTTTACAATTTGGGGTTCACCTACTTGTTTTGGATAGTTGTTCCTATATTGTCTAACATTTTAAAGTCCATTGGAGAGACAACTAACTCAGCAAGTGTATTCATAACATATTTCTACTATCCCGTTTCTGAAAAATCGTACGAGAAATATTTTGGCCTTCATTATGCAAACGAAATAATATGTTTCGGTATTTTTTTTAAATACTTCGAAATTTTGTTTGACTTACTATATTTCACACTATGCGGAGCAATAGCCACTCAATATGAAACTATAACATTGGCGTTAGAGACGTTCGGTCACGACAGAGACCCAAAAAGTAAGTAAATAGATTTGTATTGTCATTGAAATAATTATATTTTCTTAAGAGGTATAAAATAAAGACTTTTAAATAATACAAGACCAATGCTCATTAAAATTTTTAATGTACTTCGTTGTTATAAATAAGTTTAGTATTTTAACCTAATTTTAATGATAATTATATTGATAAAATTATTTAGATCAACAGATTCAAATGTATAAAGAGCTGAAAACTATAATTCAGGATTGTCAAAATGTTCATTTGTAAGTATAACTTATTTATTATTACTTTTTTATTTTTTATTTTTATGAGAAAACAAGAGATTTAGTTTTTGACATATCAAACATATAATTTTTAGCTAAATGAAATAATTTTATTCGATAGTCCGCCTTGTTCCTGTTGTCTCATAACGACTGCTTATTTTATATCACTGGTATTTATTATAGTTATTTATATGGATAAGACTATGCATTTTATAATTGTTTTAAGGAACATTCTTATGTTTTGTTAGCGATGTTTGACGAGTTCAATCGATTATGAAAAAATATTACATCTCATTATATATTTTATCGTAATCGGTACCCAATTGTTCATGTATACTTATACTTTGGACTTAATAAAGGAAAAAGTAATACGTAACAAATGTTGAAATATCGCATAGTTAAAACTAACTGTAAGGTTATATGGAATCAGAGAGACGGTATCAACTCTGGATTGTACAGTTGTGATTGGACGTCGATACCAATTTTAATTTTATAATATTAAATGCTAATGGTCATAAACTCTTTAACATTAAGAGTAACACTAAATGCACAGAAAATCTAGCACTCTCAGTTATTCATTTTTACAGAGTTTTTAGGCAATATGATCTCAATTTTTCAAAAAGTAAAATTTACAATATAATTAGTAAAAATAAATAAATCGCTCAAATATTACAAGAACTACAATATTTTACTAAATTATAGTACAATTAGTAGTATATACATTTAGCATAATAAATAACTATTATATAAATCTTTTAAAATGGTCAATTATATTTCTACTTAAAAATTTAATAGTAGCATGAATTCTGAATCTAATGAAATAGTTAACTATTACTATTAAAATGTGAACATGGATAAATATAATATTTGACATATGAGTGCGTCCATATGATTGACTATTTTAAAGGTATTCGATATTGCTTATGTAGCTTTGCAACTTTGACATTTATATATGGTAGAGATGTAATATTAAAAATAAGGTTTTTATTTCTTCCGGGATGTGTTTAGAAAAGTTTTAAATATACGACAGAAGCAACTATAATTCTTTTAAAAATTATTTTATTTTATATTTATGTCACCATTTGTGTGTCTAAGCTCAATAGATTTTGAAGAATTGAGAAAAATGTAATACTTAGAAATTTGACAACATTTTAAAATGTCATGACCGCCTAATTTTTATTTTAAATACTACATTATTGCAATTAATAAAAAAATCTACTGAATTTCATTTGTTCTGCAGATCACCCTATATTAAAATGATTTCTAAAATCTGGCTTAACAATATTATACTAACTCATACACCATCTCTGAAAATAAGACAAAGCGAAGCAACTAACCAATACAGGGATATTATTTTATCGTGAACCACTCAATATATCCTAGGGCAGATCTATTAGGGACTAATAAGAAATTTAATTTTTTTTTATATTGGTTTTATAGAATATTATGATCTCAATTTTTCAAAACAAATTTTAAGATCAGCTATAATAAGAATTAAAAAAAAAAATTAAGTATAACAAAAACCAAATGAGATATTGAGTGGTTCGGGATACAATGTTCACCCTGTACAGCATAAGCCATATACCAACGTTAAATAAATAAGTTTTTCTGTTTGGTACAATATTTTGTAGACAAAATAAACGAAAAAATATTTTTGGGAAATCATTTGATTTTAGGTTTAACACACAAATGGCCATAAACGCACTGTTTTTCGTTTTTTTTTAATATTATGGTAAATACATGTGTAGAAAATATGGTTCATTCAATTTCTATATAATATAAACTTTGACTAAATCTAGCTTTAGTTGAAAAGTAGACCTTATTCTGTTGTGTAAGTTATAAAACTATAATATAAAATCATAATAACATATAAGTGATTCTATTTAAAATTTTAAGAAACAGTGCTTAAAAATGAAATACATTATTATTTGGATGACGAAAATAATAATATTGAACTTTGCTAATTGTGAGTACGACGAGCGGGAAGTGATAAAGAGGTATAATGATATAAAAGGGCACGAAGCGGTTTATGCCAAATACGTGGTGTTCACTCTAAACAATACCGCTATAAGTAAATATTCCAATGAAATGATAGAAAACGAAATCAATGAATCTAACGAAATAATTAAATGTCATTTTACATATAATATGTTGGTTTTTATGCATTTGATCCGTGCAAAAAATTACATTAAGGATGATAACACTATTGCTAGCATTCAGAGTGAATGTCCAAAGTGGGAGCGAAAAATGTTAAAAGAGAGAATTCAAACAAATTACTTTAAAGAGCCATCATTTACTAGCTTCACGTGGGTATTTCATATTTACACACATCAAATGAAACGGTTGGCGACAATGGATGACAAAAAAAAAAGTTTTTCTAAAATGGAGGACCTTCATCGTAAAGTTAGGAGATATGTGAAAGAATCCATGCCATCTTACTGCAAATTTGACGACGGCGTACCCCAGGAATGTGATGTTACATACGATAGTGTATTGAAGTTAGATCTTAAAACAGCGCTAAGTACGCTTACACAGTTCTGTAAACGTCAGCCATTTACAGAAATCGATGTTGAAGGCTTTGATTTCGACCGGCTACATTTGAACAATGTAATAGAGGACAAAGCGATAATGGAAACCCTGACTGCAAGTTTTGGAGGTTTAGAAAATAGTGATCAAATTGTTGGTTTGCTGACTTTCAAAATGGAAATTCAAGTCAACAACCCAGACGCAATATTTGGCATTATTAGTTGGCTACAATCTGTTCATATATATTTCATTCAAATGTTAAAAACGATAATGTTACGAGTTTGTTGGACATTTTTATATCATTTGAAATCACTGCGGACCTGCAAAACAACACAATACGAAACTGATGTCATTGAAGAATTTTTAGGTCACCCAGAGAACTTTGCGGATTTTTTTCAATTAAACGATACGGACGATTTTAGAAGACAAATAAATGATTTAAAGAACTTGGGTAAAAAACCTTTGTTTATTTTTCGTCGTCCAATGTCTATGATTATTCGTTTAGTTGAAAACTATGATAAGTATGGATCTAAAGGACAAATGGGCAACGAAAAAATTAATTTGGAAAAAATGATTTTTAAATGTTTCGAGCTGAAGAACTCGAAAAACGACCACAACTATAAAACTGAAGCTAATAAGACCGTGACACGTGAGGAAATTATCAAAAACAAGATTCGGGATACAATTGAATGTACTAAAAGTTTGGTCGACTATTTAAAAAAAATATTAAAAGTCGTAAATTTTAAGGTTATTCATGATTTTGTATTGTTCTACATTTACAGACACGTAGTATTTTAATAAATGTTATCTCTTCTAATTTATGTTTGTTTGATTATAATAAGTATTAAAAATGTATTCAATTGTAGAAACCATTTAACTTTCTTTGATATTTATGATAGCACCACAAAACGGGTATTAGCTTTAGCACTAAGAAATATTTCATGTTCAACTTTCGATTTTCTAAAATTATTTTAAAAAAATAATGTTAGTTACAGGCACTTTGTTGGCACGGTCGAATACACTTCATAGTACCTTCAGTTTCCCACTCACTTTTTTTTTTATGTATTTAAATCATAATATTCTTCATATTATATTCTATTTGAATCATATTATTTTTGTATTACCTATCTAAAAAATCATTTATCATAAATTAAGCCCAATGAGATGTTGAGTGGTTCACTATAAAATGATCACCCTGTATTGCTTGGTTGCTTCGCTTTGACTTATTTTCAAAAACATTGTATGCATTAACATAATATTGTTACGCTAGATTTCATAAATCATTATACAGGGTGATCTGCATAACTTAAGATATTCAGTAGATATTTTATCAATTGCAATAATTTAGTATTTAAAAAAAAAAAATTAGGTGCTCATGATATTTTAAAATGTTGTCAAATTTCAAAGTATTAGATTTTTCTAAATTCTTCAAAGTCT